CAGGTGATGTCCTGCCTGAGCCCCACTCCCCGTCCCTTCCCCAGAGCGTAGTATCCAATTCTTTGGGGGGCCCGTCTCTGCATTTATACTTCAAAAATAGCACTTCAATCAATATGCTATTTCTTGATTTCTCAGTCCTACTGTCTTGCTGTTCTAAACAGATTTAACTATTTCTTATTGTGCTCTGCTCTACATCTTGGTCCTCCTCCCTCACTCATTTTTCTATTGTCTGTGTCCAGTGCTTTCATTATTACAAATATAAATGTTGTTTACTGCGGCACTGAACCAGTACATTATGATTGTGTTTCCTTTCCAAGCACAGATCCATGAAATAGACTTGCATGAGTCATTGTGGGCTCTCGATTTTCAGCTGAACTCAGACAGGTTATTGCCATGGAATCCAGGCCCTCGGCTGGACTTTATAGGTGGTTAGTGTTATGGAGAGATTTCCTGCACTTTCTTGTATTTGAGTCTTTGGGTGACCATTGTAAATAATTCTATAAATTATGTGTCCTGTATATAATTGTCCTCCTTGCAACCCCTGACTACAGCTCTAGGTAAGATGTGGCAGCCAAGGTAATAATGTGAGCAAAAGACTGCCATGAGGACACAGGTATATAATCTTTTCAAAATATTTATTTTTTATTAGTGCATATTGAATATATGTTTATCTTCTTGTAAAGAGTAGACCTATGTACTTAACAGGTCTTAGTTCTTTTTCTTCTCTTTCCTTTCCCCTGCCTCCCTGGTCCCTCTATCTCCAAATTCCCTTTACAAAGAATCTTATTGTTGATCTTTTATTTTGTTTCTTAAATTATGTATATTTTTTGTTTCTCATCTAAGAGAAGTAATGTGATGTTTAAGCTTGTGTTTATGTCACTTAACATGACTCAGATTTATCCTTTTTATGGCCGATTAGCACTCCATTATGTGTTAATGCCAGATTTTCTTTACACATTCATCTTTCCTGGAGCCCTCTCCAAACTACTCATGTTGGACCTCTGCATTCCAAGTCCCATAATCTGTCAGATTATATCGATTGTCCACTTGAGAGATTGGTTTGAGAAGCATGCTGCAAAGGGCCTGGATTCCATGGCAATAACCTGTCTGAGTTCAGCTGAAAACCGAGAGCCCACTGCCATCCTTAGCTACAATGAGGTCCTCAGCACCTTTGACAACGACAACAGCTGAGTACACATCAGGAAACCAGCGTGACAAACTTCTCCTGGAGATTAAACAGCACAGCACACATCTTTCCCTCTAGAGGCAGGAAGCAATGCTCAAGGACCAAAGCTCCCCTGAACTGAACCGCAACTGTTCTCAACAAGTCTCAAGCTCCTCTGATGATAACAGCTAAGTTCATATCCAGAAAGCCAGAGTGACAAGCTTCTCCAGGAGAACCAATGGCTCCAAACAGCAGCAACATCCCTGAGGAGAACCCACAACGCTGTCCTTCCTCTCCAGGTCTCCTTTTTATGCTGGCAGCAGTGCTCAGATGGGCCATCTATACTCATTACCATGCAGATTCAGTTCAGCTGGTGTTTAAGCTGACCACCAGTTACCAATCCACTACAACTAGCTAAGGTGACAGTAAATCACATCCAACTGATACAAAACAGGCTGAAACCCGCAGCCCCCAAGCAGCCACGCTGACCTCCTGGAGCTCAGCACCAGACACTTGCCATCCCTGCTGGGTATCCAGCCCCGGAGGTAACAGAAGCATATCTTCATCTTCCTTTTCCAAGACTTAAGGAATCAATTCATATTTTCTTGGCTTTTTTACATGTTTAAAAATATAAATTGAATTATATTATCTTCTACTTCTCCATCAGGAGTAGTTTGAGTTTCTACCACCCGCATATGTGATCTAGGTGAAGCCCTTTAACTTGGCTTCATAGTTTCCTCTTTGCTAAAATACATATTGTTAATTCCTACCTCCAAGGCTGTTTTGAAGACAAATGAAATCACTTTTAAGAATATACCCAGAAACCATGGGTAGGGAAACAGAGTCTGCTCCAACAGGTTGGGGGAAACACTATGACTCCCGCCAACACCCAAGGGTCAAACTCCAGCTGGACTATGGTCCTGCCCGGAAGAAACCCAATTCCATGCTCTTCCTGTCCATAACCTCCACAGTCCACGCAGAGGAGCCAGGAGCCGCATTCCTGAGCCAGTGAGACACAGCACTAACTCACTTCTTTTTCCCTCCAGGACCTTTCTACAAAACCAACTGAAGGACCAGAGATTTAGCTCACTGGCATAAGCGCCTGCCTGGTAAGTGTGAGGTCAGAAGTCCAACCCCGTACCACCAAAAAAAAGTACAGAAACTAACTGAAAAGATAAGCAGTTCTCTCTCTAATTCATTCTATCACGGAAGTATTCCACCTATCCCACAGAGGGAGTAACTTTCACAGAGACAGCAGGCTACGAAGAAGTTCCGCGGTCCCATAATGCTTGGAGTTTCATTTTCCTGTAATTAGGTCAGCTCTGCATACCTCCATCATTTTTCCTGCCTCTTTTTAATTCTGCTTGCACCAGAGTCCCACTTGCAGTTTAAATGACCTACTTAGTAAGAATGTGGAACCTTGTTTTTGGTTTCATTCTGCCTTTTATTTTTAATTTCTCAAGGAAAGATGTGGGGGTGTTTTGTCACTTTCTTTTCTGATGTACTTGGTGGTTAAAAAAAAAAACTTTTTTTAGTTTAAAAAAATTTTTTTTAATTTTTAAAAAAAGAATGTGGAACCCTCAGACAAAAAAGTCTGTTGGTTCCCTGCCCAGCTCTATCCCTGACCACTGGCAACCCCGGCACACGCCTCCCTTTCCTAAGCCTCCGTCTTTTCATGTTTACAAAGAAAGGCTTCACTCTCAGTGGTTCTGCAACTCCAAGACACTGTATTTCTGAATATCTCCCAGGTACAAAGCCCCTTGTTAGATACACAAGAATGGGGGGAGATGCAAAGATGAATTGATGTCCCTGATATAATATACTAGTGAAAAGAAGACCATAGAGTACAAAATCAAATGTCATAGTTACCTTATTTATCTGGTCTATCCATGCTGGCCACTGTACTTGGCGTATAGTGGATGCACAGTGTAATAACATCCAGTGATGGAGGGGGATCAGAAATCGATGTTTCACAGGTATTAGATGTAACAAGTTAACTTTTAAAGGTGACTCAACTTTCAGTGACTCCCAACACTGTCCTCTAATTGAAGACAAAGTCACGAGCCAACATTCAAGGTCCTCTATGGTCTGGTGCTAACATATCCTTCAGTCCTTATTTACGTTTTACTCAGAACTGTGCTGTACCCAACCAGTTTCCTTCACCATTCCATTGATTTTTAAACATAAGGTTTAGTTGGTAGCACCACAGGAATTAGGCTTGAAAAGCAGGTTGGAGCCAGACTGCAGAGACTCAAATGTCCTACCAATAAACAGGGTACACACTCAGTTCTACAAAAGTTTCAGACTTACTTTGGGCCTGAGATCTTCTGTTGACACGTCAGTGTGCTAGGAATTTGGGTGACAAGGAGACCCTTGAGAGAAACACCTACTCTGAGGATGCTAAGGAAACTAAGTGCAGGAACAGGTAGAGACTTGGAGTCCTAGAAAAGTCAACAAGCTAAATATAGCTTTGTAGGTTTCCTGGCAACCACATATACTGAGTCCCCACCACAGTAAAAAGTAGAACCAAACCGAGGCTATCCACACTACATTTCCAGAGAATGGAGTGGAGAGCAAAACATCACACCACACAAGACAATGCATGGGCCTGAGTGTGAGGGGTCCAACAGGCAGTATGAGCCCAACTGGCTTTTCCCCTCCAGCAACAACTGATACTCTTCTATGTGTGATCTCTGAAAATAACATCCACAAATATAGCATTATCTTGTGTGTTCTGATTGGCTTACAAACAATTAAACATCTGCCATAACAATCAAAATCTCCTTGATTTTTGCTATGAACTACTCTGCTTTACTTGAGCTCACCCAATATATGACTAAAAGCAAAATAAACTTTGTCTTCCAAGTCTTATGCTTTGTTACTGCGAATCTTGGGTCCAATCTCTTCTCAGCTCTGCATACAGATATGTTAATCATTTAGGAAGTGTCTGTCTAAAAGCTGGCAAAATGATGTTAATTAGCCCTGGGTGGACATACAGTCTTATCCAGTCAAGATTGAGACTTTCCGGATGGGAAGTGTGCAGACATTCAATCATGCCTGGAAGTCTCCAGCCATTTTCGGGAACCTAGGATCGTTCCATGAAAATGAGACCACCCTGCAGCTAGGACTGAATCAGAGCTACGACACTGGGACTGAGATTGTAAGGAACAAGACCCCAGCCTACCAGCCACTCTGTGAAAGCGGGCCACCTTGTAATGGCCAGCCTGAATCTCCTGTGTCAGTGCGCTCCCTCCCGCTCCCTGAGCCAGAATCCTTCCATTTCTTCCTTCTCACTACCCACAGCACATAGTTTTCATTACAAGTGACATTTTTAATAGATCTCACAGTATCAGCACTACCCAATATATTTCACAGCAAAATCAGTAAGCAGAAGACCTAACTGTGAAGACAGGAGAAAACATCCTGTCTCTCTTCATAAAACCGAAGTAGCTGAGCTAACCGCTTCTATGTTGGGCAGACTCATTTAGTTCTTCTTTTCTGTTTTTGTGGCTTTGTTTGGGTTTAGCTTGGTTTTTTTGAGACTGAATCTCATAATGTAGTTTAAGCTGGCCTTGAACTTGCTATATAGCCTAGGCTGGCCTTGAACTCATAGCAATCCTCCTGCTTCAGATTTCTGAGTGCTGGGATTACAGACATGTGCCAGGTTTGTTTAGTTTTTGTGTCTGCTAAATGATCAGGCCTTCCACAGAGCAAACACAGGAAATCACGTGGCCCAAACCATCTTCCAGGCCAACACTTCCTACTTGGGAGACAAGCAGGGTCAGAGCTGTAGGGTCAGCTGAGAGCAAAGGGAGAGAGAAGAACGCCTACTTACCATAGAAGAGCAGTGCTTTGGTCATGGGATGGTGTAGGTAGCTTCGGTTGATGGTGAAGAAACAAGCGTCTGCTCCACACTGGCCCAGCCGCCCAGTTTCCCCAGTCAGAGGGGACCACCAGAGCATGATGGGGTGGTCGCCAACTTCCAACTTTTGCTTCCTATTCAAGGTCAGTGTTTGTTTCTTAAAAAACACATTAAGATGGTCAGACTCTTCCTCCACCTTGGTACGTCCATCTTGTAAATGGAAATTTTTAAACTTCTTCCTTTCAAACTTTCCCAGCTCAACCACAACCTGAAAGTCAAAGACAGTTATTATCAATTTCTTCCTGCACACCTGCCAGTCACCTGGATGACGGAGTGCCTTGTTCACTTTCTGTTGAATCTGAAATTTGAAACGACCAACATTTATTATTACACAACTCTGGCAGTCAGAAGCTGGAAATGGGGTTCACTGAGTTGAAATCAAAGGGTCAGCAGGGCCACGTTCCTTTCCGGAGATTCCAGGGGAGAATCCATTTTCTTGACTCTTCTATCTTTTAGAGGCCAACCCTAAAGTTGGCCTGTGGCCCCTTCCTCCCCACCAAAGCCAGCAGTACGTCCCTCTGGGACCATCCTGACCCCTCTCTGACCACAGCCACGGAAGGTTTTCTGCTCTTAACGATTCATGTGACTATACTGGGCACCACAATTTAATCAGGATAATTTCCATACTTGCAATGAAATACAAATACTTCCATTACACATTACATTTGTAATGAAAGCCAAGATTAGAATTTTTTTAGTTGTTTATATTTTTATTAGTACATCTTTGCATATATGATTACACTTATCATGGGGAGACAGTACATGTACATAACACATCTTTTTTTTTTAACTTCTCCTTCTTCTCCTCTTCTTCTTCCTTCCAAAGTCAAATCATTTATAGAGACTTATTTCTTACAGTTCTGGAGGCTGGGAAGTCCAAGGTTGAGGAGCTCAAGAGAAAGGAAGGAGCGCCAACTCATGCTCTTATTAGAAACCCGCTCCCGAGATGACTCGCACGATCCTGCAATCAAGGCCACCTGTCTACCCTGCTGCACTGGGGATGCTGACGTCCAGACATGAACTGGGAGGGACACACTGACATCCAAGCCATGCTCCAACTCATGATACGTGACATTAACCCCACTTGCTAAGTCCCTTCTGCCACGTAAGTGACATCTCCACAGGTCTGTGGATTACAGCACGGATGCAGCCCCCAAAACGTATACCTCCGGGGATGCCAAATAGTTCCATGGGATCACAGATCCATCCACCCAACTTCATACACAGATACAGTATCCACAATGGGTCTGTCCCTTGAAATTCATCATAAATGAGCTTTTGCCTGTCTACTACCAGAGATTACACACTAGGGAAAATGAGTTATAAATTACCGACTGACTTCTCTTACTACTATTGAAGAAGTCAAATATGAGTGTAACATTTTTAACTGTACCCACCACAGCACTGACACTATGCAGTGGCATCCAAAGTCACACTCCCAAGAGTCGTCCTGAGGGACCCAGCCGTCCACTGAGAACAAGCCTCCCACTCCTTTCCACATCAGACTGCAGTTTTTAACTATCCCAGGCTAGTCTATGACTGCTCACCCTACAGGGGAGGGCAAAGTGAATGGGACACAAACTAGGGGGCAGCCATCCTCCAAAGGTCTACCTCTGTGCTAAATTTTAAAATTTGACATTGACATGGCATTGCTACAGTGTTAGCAAAAGGCTGCCTCATTTTATGTGTACCTGAACCCTTGACAGACAGACTGAAACCCAGAGAGCAGATTAAGCACTTTTATGCAGTCAACCCCTCTATATTCACAGGTTACTTTATCTACAGATTCCACCAACCATGGCTCAAATATATTCAAAGAAAGAACTGCATCTAGGGTCAAGCATGGTGGTACATGCCTGTAATCGCAGCACTCAGGAGGCTGAGGCAGGAGGATTGCCACGAGTTCGAGGACAGACTTGGCTATAAAGTCACTTCAAGGCCAGCCTGAACTGCATAGCAAAACTCTGTCTCAAAAAGTCAAAAAAGAAAAAAAAAATCACAACTATACTGAATGCAACTGATGCATTTCCCTATCACTATTCCTTAAATGATAACAATGTAACAACTATTTACATAGCACTTCAATTGTATTAGGTACTATGAAAAATCCAGAGATACTTTAAAGTATACAAAGAAGGTGCATAGGTTATATGCAAATATTAAGCCATTTTACAGCAGAGACTCGGGGATCTGCTGTTTTGGTAAATGGAGAACCATCCTCTGAGGCCATGCTGGCCAACTTGGGATATGTGCATTATTGTTTTCTCTTTTAAGATAAAGGATGTTAATGTATGAGTTATTTTTTTTTCCTAAAGTAAAACCTCAGTATTCAGGTTTAATTGCAATGTTGGCACTTTATGATAAATGTTTTTTGAGTTGTAGTCTGGCGCTGGGTCTCTAAAAGGTTCACCATCACTGCTAAGGACTCCAAGAATGGCCACTAATTCCTCCTCCAGCCAAAGAGAATGCTCCCTCTGGAGTCCTTCTTTAACAACCTGGGGCCATGTCTTTTCCATGAGCAACTCAGCGGGTTGAGGAAAGAGCCACTGGTCGGCCGCTGATGTGGCAATGGAGTCTGTAACTTCCTGGGGAAAGCCCTAACTTTCGTTAGATTCTCAAAAGGACCCAAGGCCTATAAAAATATTCAGAACCACTGAGGGAGAGCCATTTAGCAGTACTCCTAAAGGAGTAAGAAATTATATTTGCTTTTAAAAAATCATGGATCACCTCTGACACAAATCTGCATTAAAACAGCAAAATGGTCCTGAAAATTATTAGTTTAACCCTTGCCAATAGCTTTCTCAGCATTTTTATAATATAATAAGGTGGCTCTTCCCCAGAAGCTTGACAGAAAGAGAGCTGACTCACAGTCCCAAACTATCTTCATTTGACCTGCAGTACTAGCAACCAAAAAAAAAGGCTTTTAAAAAGCCATGGGATATAACTTCAAAGATAATATTTGTTCCACACTTCTGATCAATGTCTCCTATGTAAAGTATAATTTCACTTACAAATCATAAGGATTGTGTTATGAACAGATTTTTCTGACAAATAGCCTTCAAAAATATACTTATCCACAGATAGCACTACCAGGTTATAAGAAGTATGGGGGTAGATAAAAGAAAATATTGAAATCATGGGGATAAAATCAGACAGTTCCATGATTTAGACAATTCAAAAGGAAAAATAAGCTCGTTTCTTCAAGCAATCCATGACATCAAATAAAAGATAAGGCAAAAGAATTTTCTAAAAGAAAAAAAAAAAAAAAACTTGAGAGACATCAACCTAAGACAATGTGTTGGATTTATTTCAGATTCAAACTAATCTGCTTTAAAAAGGCTTTTTAAAGATAACTAGGAAAAGTTTAGCATGCCCAGGATATAGAAGTTAGTGAGTAATTATTGTTAATTTAGTTGGGTTAGAGACTAATAATGTGGTTATGTGAAAATTTAAATGTTTCTATGTGTTACAAAATCATACTAACATATGTCCAGGTGAAATGCAGTGCCTAGGATTTGCTTTGAAAAACTCCAAAATTCATGAACTATTTGTACAACTAAAAAGTAAGCAAAAATAAGGATAATATATATCTATTACATACCCCAAAGAATTTATAGACATTATACACAAAATATAGTTAAAAGCAGATGGAAAATCTATACACCACAAATGATTTCCTCTAGAGAATAACCTTGCAGCTAAACTTTAGGTAACCATACATTTGCATGTTTAGGCTATCATTAAATTATATCACAGACGTGTGGAGGGATAAGTTGTATACCCCAACAATTCACATGTTGATGCCCTAACTCCTAGTATGTCAGCACGTGGATATATTTGGAGATTGGGTCTTGAAATAGGTTATTGAGTGAGATCATTAGAGCCTCAGTCCAATATAACTTAGGGTCCCCACAAAAAAAGGGAAATTTAGACATGGACCAGTCCAGACAGACAACAGGATGGTCACACAGGGAGAAGATGTCCATCTGTAGGTCAAGGAGAGGGGAGAGGGACCTCAGAAGAACTGACCAGCTAACCGCTTAACGTGACTCCTGGACCCCCATAACAATGAGGAAGTTAATGTCTGTTGTTCAAGCCGCCCGTCTTGCAGTCCTTTGTTAGGACAATCTTAGCAAACCAATGAAGATCCTTAACATGATTTATTTTTAATATTTCTTTCCTTTATCCTACTTCCCATGGCAAGTTATTTTATCTACCTACTTCATAAACTATTAAGAATAGATGTGGCTCTGAATGTATAACCATTCTTTCTTTTTCCACTGGTGGGTGTTTTAAAATTTTTTTATGATAACATTACCACCAGGCTGAACACTGAAACACTCAATGTGCCAGTGAGAACTGAGAAACCTTCTGATGGCCACACTACGGTTTAGCTCCAAGGTTCAAGCCGACTCCTCATGCTCTGGACACTTAGAACTGGCACACCCTTCAAAAACAAGGAAACTAGGGGCCGGGGATTTAGCTCAGTGGCATAAGCACCTGCCTTGCAAGCAGGTAGTCGTGAGTTCGATCCCCAGTACTGATAAAAAGGAAAAAAGACAAAAAAAAAAAAAAAAAAAACCAAGGAAACCTATTCTGACATGAAAAGAGGGGTCCTTAGCTTAGACGCAGGCATTTCTCAGAACTGGGTAAAGTGCCACAGCAAATGTCTAGAAAGATCAAACCCCCCCTGAAAACTTCCCACTGAGAGAAGCCGACAACCCTAGTTCCTCCTTCCCAGCCCCTAGGTATCTCCAAGACAGACCATGAAGCAGTCAAACGTTTCCTCTCACTGGATTCCCACCCTGCGCTTATCAGCACTGCATTACTCCATCCTGATCAGAAAAAGGAGCTGCTGCAGACTTAAGAGCCCAGAGAACACTGTAGTTGCCATCAGTCCCACACCTGAACTACTCACATCCATAAATCATCTGTAGAAGTACTTCAGGCTGTGAAATGAACAGCTGGCGTTTGAATAGAGGAAGAATATATCTAATATATACATATATGTGTATGTGTGTGTATATATATATATATATATACACTTTTATCACTATGGAATTATTTTGATTTTAGATTAGTAAACAAAGTTAAAACTTATTGTAAGAAAGAAGCCAACTGCCCTTCCCATTTCAGCCATGCTGGGGTGGGAAGGGAAACAGGAAGCCAGTCTGTCCTTCCCATGAGCAAGCCGGCACACAAGCTGGATGACAAGAAGACACCACCTCCCACTCCCATAAGCAACTGGCTGAGCTGATAGCAACTCAGACACAAAAACAGCTTAATGCTCGTATTGTTTGACTGACTTTATGGCCCTAAAGCCAGTATTGTGAGCATCTATTTAGAGGATAACAATACACAGTATAGCATCTATGGGGGATTTCTTTCTGTCTTGTCTTTAAAATCCAGTATTATTCTCACTTTTTTGCTTTGTTCCATTATATTGTTTTGTTTTCTTCAATGTTCTCTTTTGATTGGTTTTATTTTGCTCTGTTTTGTTTGGTTTTATTATGCTAATAGTATGGACAGCAATTTTGGAAATAACAAGAGGCATTATGGTAACCATTGTTGACTTCTTATTATGCTGTTCTGAAGCCCTATATAACTTTCACTATTTTATTTTGATTGGCTTTATTGTGTTTTACTTTGCTTGGTTTTATTCTCTTTAGTGAAAAAGATTTTTTAATTAAAAAAAACTCACTGTAAGTACTAAGTAGGAAAAATAGAGAAATACTTCCCGTTCATTCACCCTAACACAGTCCTTGATCTGTTCACATGTCAATAAATTTACACATGCAGTTGTTTGTATTCTGTACTTATTATAAGATATAGACTATCTTCCAAATACTATTCTCACAATAGTCCTTGCTTCTCCAAAACTGTCATTTTCTGAAGCAATGACCATAAGAGACCCTGAGGGAGCCACCCAGCCCTGACGCCATAAGATAGAGTGAACTATAATTTCTGCTAAACCAGTGCTGTACCAGTCACACACAGACTGACATCCTAGCTCAATGATTTTGTTTCCACCTGCCACACTCATTCAATAAACTTCAGTTTGACCTGTTTAAAACAGATGTTTTTTCCTTGCCTTACTCTACAGAAAGTCCCTGATCCTAAAGGATTAATCATAAAAGTAAAGCACCTAAAGTTTCATAAGAACGGAACTGGGATGACAATGAAGGATCCACACTACACACCCCGAATCCTTGGTACCTGGAGTGTGACGAGCATAAAGACAGTAGCTGTCGCGCACAGGCAGAAGGCCAAAAGCTTCCTCCTCTGAATGCGTGCCATGCTGCCTGGCCTCGCGTGGCTGACAGAGGACTGGCCCCCCTAGCAGGTGTCCATGTGGCAGCCCATGGCCCGAGATGACTTCACGCAGAGGTGCCATCTGGGTGCCAATTTCCTGCACTGCCATTCCTGCTGGGACCTGGTCTCCATGAAGGACTGAGATCTGAAGCTCCGAGGGGGCCGGAGTGGCATCGAGAAAGAACAGCATGCAGTCCTCTTAAACCATCATCAGAGCAGCCGGAGATTCTTCAGGCAAGAAGGCATTGACAAATGCTGTAACAAATGAACAGGAAAACTTTAGCATGAGCCATGCTCCAGAAGACTGAATAAATGTGGTCTCCCAGGGCTAGCATGCAGGAACACAGAAGTTTCAGACTTGTGGGATCACAGATTCCTAGCACCTCGTGCACAGAGAAGGGAAACTGAGATTGGGGTAGTGGAGTGACTTGCTAGAGGCCACCTAGTCCATGAGAGCATGCCTACCCTACAGGCAGGACCCAAAATCTAGAATTCTACTTTCATTTCATTTTTTCTTGTATCAGAAGATGGAATCCCAGAAGTCATTTATGTGAACTTGCTTCCTCCTAAGTCTCAAAGGAGTAGAGAGGCAGAGTAGGAATCACCAGGACCCAAGGCTGCAGTGTGGCTCCGTGGCTGGTTACTCAGCTAGCATAAAGGAGGCCTGGAAAAAAATAAAGTACCAGGACCACCCACCGCTCCCACAAAAATTAGGAAGACGGTAAAGGCTCAGGCTGAACAAAATTGGATAATGATCAACCACCCCAATACACCCCAAAGATACGTTGAAGGTCATGGAGCAGAGAAATCCAATTACTCATTTATTGTTAATTCGATGATGGCCAGTGCAATAAAGCAGTGGGTTGTTTGGCCAACATGACTAGGGTTTCACACATTTGAAGCACACAACCTCATAAAGAAATTTTTAAAAGGCACTGAATGGTTCTGAAAAGTCCAACGTCATGGGCAAAATTTCAGAATTCTAAAAGTGATACAAAACTCCGGAGTACTCTTCTCTCGTGGCTCTGATTTCCTTTGAAATCCATGATATTTTTCTCTTGTGACACCACAATGTCTCTTGCTCTCAGAAATTACCGAAAGTATATTTTCTTCTTTCACCTATGAAATTACCAAACTATAGTAACCGTAAGAATGGGCTACAGAGTCAGCCTGCCAGGATTCAAATCTCAGTTCCCCAGGTGGCTTAACCTAGCTTCTCCATAACACAATTTCCAAAGCAGACATGAATAGGACCTAATCAGAATTAGTGAGAAGTCCTACAAGATTGCAAAACAGGGGGTTGCACATTTAGCTCAACCGCACAAGCGCCTGCCTGGGAAGCGTCAGGTCGGGAGTTTGATCTGTGGTCCCATTAAAAAAAAAAAAAAATTGACAAAATACTTACTTCATATCATGGAACATAATAAATGCCTAATGTTTATTCCTGTTTTATTGAAATATGATTTTTATTGTGCCTTTAAGTATAAGCTAGTTGAATTTTTTTTTTTTTTTGGTCTTTTTCGTTTTTATCGCTAGGAGGGATCGAACTCACAACTGCCTGCTTGCAAGGCAGGCGCTTACGCTGCTGAGCTAAACCCCCAGCCCAAGCTAGTTGAATTTATATAAAATGTCTTTCCTCATCACCTGGGATGTCAAAAAGAAGAAAGGTTGTTACATACTATTGAGTGACCTATTTTAAGCAAAGCCTTTCCTAAGCTCACAGCAGGCATGAGCTGATCCCATCTTCCTGTGAAGCAGGAAGTGCTATCCTCACCTTTCATGGTGAAAAAAAAACTGCATTTGAAAACAGTAAAGTAACTTTCCCAAGATCTTAACTTTTTTTAAAATTTGGGTTCCTTAAAATTCATGACATTGCCATAGGTGCTGTTAGTTCAGCACATGTTTGTGGTACATAACGACTGCATTCATCATGGGGAAGTGGTACATATACAGAACATCTCAATTCTCTTTTTGCAAGAACTTGACTTTGAAAAGCACTAATTGAAACCAGCATGGCTCTGAAGTTTATGTACCCTTTTCTGTTTTTCAATCTTAGTAGTATAAAATTCCCCCCAGGAATCACAATCACAGGTTGCCCTCATGAACCACAGATCAGAGGGGGAAAAGGTCTGCGTAAAATAGATGTCGGTTTAGATATAAGACAAAAAAAGGAACATAAACCCCAAGAAGCTGAAATGTACCTTAACTTCTATACAGTAGGTGCTAGCAGAACTACTATATTAGGATCCAATTTTGGTTCCGTCACTTATACATAACATAAATTTGGACACATTACTAAGTCTTCATAAGTGTCAGTTTATTTGTAGTAAATAAAAAATGTTGCCTCATTATTTTTTTCCTTACAGCAGAAACGTTATCAGATGCTTATTTTATGTACTGAAGCAATTTAATACAGCTATAATTAGTACAGCTGCAATACAACTGTAATTAATGTAACCCAGATTAAGTAATAAAGTATTACCACCTTAACTCAGAATTTAATTATACCATTTTCAAAAGATTTTTAGATCTACCATTTCACTTAATCTTACTTATAATCAATTTAAAAACTAGACAAGGTAAACGTTATTATTCAGACTTCCCACAAATAAGGAAACAGACCCTCGGCAAGTTTAAGCAATTTGCATATGCTCACATTTTTTTAAGGTTTCTGCCAGAAATCAGGTCACCTAATTCTAAGACTGGCAGAAAAGAAAGAGATGGCAGAACAGTGACAGGATTTTAAGAGCACAAAAAGTTAAGGATAAGGGAAAACAAAAGCTGTAGAGAGAATTTGAGGATAGAGTTTTGGACATTTTTAATACTACCATAAAAGCTTGGGCCTTCTAAGATCTTTATATGATTGTATCAACTCAATAGAAAAATTCAAGGTGATAAATTTTCTTGTATCCAGAGAAACTCCCCTTGGGTTATATTCCCAAAGCCAGAAGTGTAGTGGGGTCTCAGGGACCAAGCAGTGATCAAAAGTACCCACTAAAAGAAAGTAGATCCCAGTATGTTATTTTAATTTATAACCACACAGTAACATGTATTTTACATTAGAGCAGTCAATCTAGTATATGGTATTAATTACCCAGGAGGCTGTCACCCACCCCCTCCTCTGGAGGGATAGATGGCCTTGCAGACAGTCCCGTGAAGATAAGCAATGTCCAACTCAATGGCACTCCAAGAGGGAAGCTTCCTCTGTTCCCTCATCACCTGCAGGATGAATCTGGGAGGCCTTCAAGAAAAGGTCCCAGAATATTTCTTTCTGGGACACAGTGATGTGTTTGTTCAGCTAACCAAGCAGATAATGTCTGAACTGAACTCTCAGTAACCAACTTGGCAATGACTACACAGCCTACGAGCACTGCCTGGGGTTGGCCACCTGCTTCCTGGTGAGTGAGGTTTGGAGCTGAGCAAATCTACCTCATGCTCTGAAAGTATCACCTCACCAAAACCAGCTGCACTCTCATCCTAAAAATAATTCCCAGTTTCTGACTTTAAATCAAGATGAAAAGAAGAAAAGAGAGACTGAGCATCTCAAAGAGAACTCAGGCTAAGGTTGCCAGCTTCAAGGGTGCAGGACCAGTTTGAAACATACGTAAAGAGTATGAAAAATGGAACCAGGAGATGGATTTCTGCCCTGGGTCTCCGCGTGCACAATGAGAAACCAATTAAGATGAACCATGTGACACCCAGACCTGCTCCCAACCTTGCTGGTGTGTCTTTCCCCTCCCCTTCTTCTTCCCATGGACAGAAAAGGCCAGGCAGAAGGTAGGGATCTCTAGGAAAGCTCCCTTACTTGGGTCTCCTCTAGGAACTGGGGAGGAAATTCTCATCACTGAACTAAAGATAATACAAAGGAGGGCTTTCAGACGGACTGTGCCTAATAATCGAGTTTAACTTACACACACCAATGTGTAATTTCTCAAATAGGCTTGATTCTTCCAAGGAGTGTCTTTACAATGTATAAATCTTTAGAACATCCCGTAAAGGCCTGGCTGTCTTGGAAAAAGGTGAGGCTGGTGGGCTGATGGGAAGATGTCTACAGCCTTTGGATCACGCTTCTGGCACATTTAACTACCTCCTTTCAACGTACCCATCGTCACCCCTCACTCGTTCCTGCCTAGTCACTCTTGAAGTCCAAGACCGATGTTCTTCCCAGGCTGATTCTCTTTCCACCATCCCGATATATTGAGATGTCCCCTAGAGCGCTGATTGGGCATCTCACCCCGAGTGAAATCCTTTGATAGCTTCCTGAAGATCCCCAGATCAAAGATAAAGCTCAAACTCTGGTAGCTTCAAAACTAGACGATGGCCGGGAATTTAGCTCAGCGGCATAAGCACCTGCCTGGCAAACTCAAGGTCGTGAGTTCAATCCCTGGTACCACAAAAGAAAAGATATAAAACTAGACTAAGGGAACCTGATCCTGTTTGTCTGGCTTCCTTTCTAGCTTCCTCCTCATTGTTCCTGTTAATCCTGCAATGCAGCTTCCCATCCAGGGCTCCCTGCCCACTGAGATACCTCCTTCTCTGATGTGGTCACCCTCTGAGACTTGAGGCTGCTTCAGAAACCCTCTCTCTCCTGAGACCAAGTCAGTTTATAGACTCACATCATCCTGTACATATTTCTGCCACAGCAAGGAAAGAAAGCAAGAAGCTGGAGGATTGGGCGAGCAGTGGGATACTGTGGACCGAACCCAGGGCTTTCACACTGAGTGACATCCCCGGTTCTATTTTAACTATTACTTTTGACACGGGGTTCCACTGAGTCAATAATTTGCCCAAGCAGGACTGAAACTTTCAATCCTGCTGTCCCAACTTCCCCGAAAACTCCAAGTACAGTAGTGCACTGCCACCCTTGACATTCGGGAAACTTTCCACAGCTGCCTCACGGTGTGTGGAAAACAGCCACGGAGTATTATTACAGAGCCAGCCTATGTGCTTATTTGGTGAAGAATCCCTTAATTATGCCTGCCCTAGGGCACCTGATGAACGTGATGGGTGGTACCAGTCTCCACTTTGACCCGATTTTCTTTATTATATTTACTCACATTAATATGTTTTTCATTCTTTCATAATGGATCTTTTACTTTTGCTGCACATTAGTTTTTCCATAAAGAGGGCTCAGGTGAAAGACTGGTGAAACAGCACATAATATGGCTAATATTTCGCATGTCTAAGGGCTAGACCAGGCAGTGTTCTAAAGTTTCTTCCCAAAAGGGAGCTCTCTAAGCCTGTGAATTGTGTCCAGGAGCAGAAGCTCTTCAAAGAAAAAAGATTAACCTAGCAAAGAAACAATTATTGGGGCTGGGGATTTAGCTCAGCGGCATAAGCGCCTGCCTTGCAAGCAGGCAGTCGTGAGTTCTATCCCCGGTACCGATAACAATGAAAAAGACAAAAAAAAAAAAACAATTATCACAATAATTTGATCGCTGGGGCTCAACTTCACTCCAACGTGCGCTTCTTCTGCCACAAAATCTCTGCTTCAAAGCCAACCCACCATGAACTCGGAGCCAGGGGCCAAATTAAACCTCTCCTTGAAGTCTGGCTCTCAGATATTTTGTCCTGATACAAAAAGCTAACACAAACTAAGAAACAAAAAATAAAACATATTTGAATATAACAAGTTCAAAATTATTTTGCATGTGTGTGTGTGTGTCTGGTCTGGGGATGAAAACCAGGCTCTCCTAACTGCTAGGCAGCTGCTCCTCCTCTGGACTACAATGCCAGCCCATTCTCTTCTCAGTAATTCAGCATTACCTTTAGGAATTTGAGATTTTATTCAATTTTTAAAAATCTAGAAAACACTGTAAATAAATGTATTTTTCTTCTTCCAATTTCCAAAAACAGTTGTTCAGGGCCACTCTAACAAATACTTAGTACAGAATGTTGATAATAAAGTAAGATAGAGCGCTTCTTGATGAAATTAACTCTTTACATTCCGAATACTATAAAAAAATCCATTTAAGTACAGCTTGGAAAACTGTATACTGTATATACTGTATACTGTAAATACTTGGAATACTGCATACTGTATAGGTGTATCCTGAGCAACACTTACAGATATATAACACTGTCCAAACTATTTTTTCCTTATTTCCTAAGTGTAACCCTAATCTGAAGCTTTCAAAAATGTTTTATTTATAACAAGAAGCTTGAAACTCACAACTGCTCTCTTTCTCACTGAAAAATAAAAGATAAGTGACAGTAGGGCGGGAACGGTGCAGGTCACAGCTAATCCTCTGTTACATACTGCCATCTAGCAGGAAGCTAGCTAGTGAAGAGTTAGCACCGCAGTTCCAAAAGTGGAACCGACTTGATCCTCTGATGCTGCAACACGGCCTCTGGCTGGAGCCAGGAGAAGAAAGCTCTAAGACTGAGTGAGGATAAGGTGCTGCCTTCATGCTGGCTTGGAAACTTCGTGTGCAACTATCTAGGCTGTTTATTCAACCCAGACGGCCAGGCCTCCTCTTGAGGAGAAATCAAGATCCTACCTTGTACTGTGGCACCACTAGCAAGCCCAAGACCGTTCAGAAGTTTTGGGGAAGGAGGGAGAGTGGGCCACATTTATAATAGAGCAGCGCGTGTGAAGGCATTAAGGTCCCCAAGACAAAATTAACACCATGTACTCAACCAGAGCTGCACACATTTCACAATGAAATCAATAATCCAAGTCACACCACGTGTTCTGCCCAACAGAGTCAGGGTCACTGGGCGGTGAGTCGCAACAGTGTTAAGAAAAAGTCACTTGTATGACATTTGCTAGGTACCAAAGAATCATTTTTAAAAAGCCCGAGAAACTGTCTTGAATATCACAGCAATGTTCTGTATCTTGCACAAGTGAGCTGTATTCTGTGGGCCCTAACTGGGTATACAAACAGCCATGTCCTGGCGGGGCTGTGAATAACTGGCCCTGCAACTGGGGCCTTTCCAAGTTACCACGCCTGCTACGACCGCCTCGGCACAAGTGGAAGCTACTAACTGGCCTAGTTCAGCGCGAAAGTCCAGCGATCAGCAGAGAAGCATGAGTGGGCAAAGAGACTCTGTCTGCTAGGCAGTGCGCGCAGGCCGGGGTTGGGGGGAGCGGGGTAGGGAGCGAGGCCTTGCTCCCCGGCCCGCGTGCTCCCCTCCCGCGAGGTCCTCCCCGCCTCTGCCAGCTGGGTCCCCGCAGCCACCCGAGCGCGCGGCCGGGCTTCGTGGGCTCCGAGCCGCCCCACACTCACTCCCTCCCGGCACAGGCGGGTCCCCGGCTGCCGATCGAGCAGGCGCGTCCGGAGCCGCGGGACAGAAAAGACACCTTCAGCTCCGGCCCCGCCAGGTCACCTCGGATCCGCACCGGACCGGACCGGACCGGACCGGAACCGGAGCTCAGTGCGGGGCTTGCCCTCCAGGGCGCGCCCCGGCCCCAGGCAAGACCGGGAAAGGCTGCCCGGGAATGAAACAGGCAGAGACCGCCACCCCGCGGGCCAGGCAGGCTTCTAGATCCTCGATCCAGGTTTTCACCGACGCCCTGTTTAAAACCCAAGGGGACCCTCGTCTGCCGGAACCGCGGTTTCCCTCCGCGGACGCATCCCGGGAAGCCGGCCTGCGAACACAGTTCTGCAAAGTTCTTGGAAAGTTCTTCCAGAAAGCCCCTCTAGAAAGCCCATTTCTTGTGTTGTCTTTGTTGTTGTTGTTCATTTGTTTGTTTAGACAGGGTGTCACTGACAGGCTGGGTTTGGTTTTAAATCCTCCTGCCTCAACCTCTCAGAATGCAATGGAGATTGCTGGCATGGACCGCCACCCTCGGCTCTGAGGCCCTCTTCTGAAATCACAGGAAACTCGGACACTAGGACAGGATACTAGGACTGCATCTTAGAGCCAACTGTTTGGGGAAAGTTTGAGCTTTTTATGAGCAAGCTAAGCTGAGATTGGGCATCGATAAAAGGTTTTCTTCGGAGACTGAACAACATGATCATTGTGGTGGCCCGCAAAATAATTTGGGAAGAAAAAATTAATTTATTAAGGCACAGGCCTGGCGACACAGCCTCCAGTAGCCAATATGGAAGACTGCGTGCCTAACAGCTAAAGGGCAGGGTTTTTATCCTGTAAAACCGCAAGCATCTGCTGGTCTCACAATGCACAATCGTTTTCACGGTGCACTACAGAACAGGAACACGGCAGCGGTTACATTTCTCAGGAAGAGCAAGGTTCAGGTAAGGGTTGAGCTAACAAGCAAGTTTAGATTAGGCAGACATCCTCTGGGGAAGGCACATCCTGCAAACAAGCAAGTTATCCTGCAAACAAGCAAGTTTAGATCAGGCAGACATCCTCTTCTGCTCTTAGAGTTATCTTTGATTTTTCTCTTGCCTCCGGGGAGACTTATGAGGGAGTTTATATAAGTTACAACAATCATTTACTTCTGTTGACTACTATGGTCTGAATATTTGTATCTTCCCAAACTTCCATGCTGAGTCCTACTTTCTGGTGCCCTGGGGTGGAAAAGCTCTGGAAAGTGGTTTGGTCAAAAGGGCTGGGTCCTCCGCATTGGGGTTAGTGCTTTAGAAAAGGGAGCTGCTGCTCAGTATGCCCCAGGCCCTGGTTCGCTCCCAGGATCAAGGTAGGGATGGCTTCCGCCCTACGAGTGTGAATCTGGGGGCTTCCCAGTTTCCCTGTGAACCATAAATTTCTGTTGTTTATGAACTAACCAATCTAAGGCATTTTCTCATATTACATAAGTGCTGAAGTAAAACTACAGCCAGAGTGCTGCCCTCCAAATCCAGATAACCCAGTTAAAGTTATTTTGCCCTTGTCTAGGTGATAAACTAAGGGTGGTCATTTAAGACTTTGGAAGGGCTTGGACCAGGGAGAGGTGGGGAGCGGACTTCCTCTGTCCAAGTCTGAGAGGTGCCCACCGGGTCCTGAGTGCTGTGGGGCAGCTATAGGGCCAGTGGGGTAAGATTTGCTGGCCCCAGTTTGCCTCCTGCAAAGCCTGGCCCTGCAGAGCTCCTGTCAAGCACCTCCGTAAAAATGGTTCATAAGATTAGTGCCCGCTTCTAGAAAACATCAACCACAAAGAGCAAGTTGAAAATTGAATAGCATGAAACATAAGGAATCCTGTTTATCAAAGACACGGGGATTTAGCTGAGCGGCATGAGTGCCTGCCTGGCAAGCGCTAGGTTGTGAGTTCAATCCCCGGTACCAAAAAAAAAAAAAAAAATCACCATTATGAAATGAAAATCTAGAGTGAGAGAAGATATTTTCAGGAAAGTTTCACCTAACAAAAGAATTCCTATCAAGAATAGCTCAAGGGGTGGGGATTTAGCTCAGCGGCATAAGCGCCTGACTTGCAAGCAGGCAGTCGTGAGTTCGATCCCTGGTACCGATAAAAAGGAAAAAGACAAAAAAAAAAAAAGAATAGCTCAAGAGTTAAGTTCAGTGACACATGCCTGAAACTCAATCACTCTAGGAGGAGGCTCAGAAGTTGAAACTCAGCTGGGCAATTAGTGACTTAGTGAGACCCTGTCTCAAAAAATTTAAAAAGGATTGGAGATGTAACTCGGTGCAAAAGGCTTTGGGTTCAATTCTCATGCATTTGATACATGTCTCAAATACCAAGAATTTCTACAATGCAATAAGAAAAATAAGCAATCCAGTAAATATAGTACTTCACCAAGGAAGAATCCAAAGAGCCTTTAAGTGCATGAAAAATTGCTTAACTTTTTCAGTTACCAGAGAAATGCAAATGAGCACAGTGTACATCTGCACACACACTGAAAATGCTACAAAGTTCAGAGCTGACAATGCCAAGCAAAGGCACAGCTATGGAGTATGGAACCCTTAGGCACCATTGGTGGGGGTGTAATTACCCCAGCTATTTTGGAAAACTGCTGATATCTATTAGAGCTAAATATACATATGCTTTGTCACTCTGAAATTCCTAGGTATGTGCCCAATAGACAGGCATACACACACATCAGAAGACATATGCTCATTAAAATGCACCTCAACAGATTTAAAACAATAGGCATCACCAGATATGGGAAATGGGAAAGGAAGGTTAAGACCTAACTGGCCTGCCCTGTGAGCACAAAGGAGAAAGGCACCTTCAGGGGTGATGGCCTGTTGGAGGTTTCATGGAAAGCTTACACAACTGAGATGAAGGTGTTTACCTGAGCAATGATTAATCGATAATATGAAACAGATGGATCTTATGTAACTTTAATTGCCTAAACCCATGTCTGAGTGAATAAAAGTAGACCAGTCAGAGGTCTGGGACTCTTCTGTTTAGAAACAAGCACCGCTGGGCTGGGGATTTAGCTCAGTGGCATAAGCGCCTGCCTTGCAAGCAGACAGTCGTGAGTTCAATCCCCGTTACCAATAAAAAAAAGGAAAAAGAAAAAAAAAAAAAAAAAGGAACAAGCACCGCCTGGCTGCCCACATTCTAAACCAACTCTGTGCCTGTCATTCATCTTCATCTGCCTTTCAGGTCAGGGAAATAAAGTAGTGGACAAAGTCACTACAAGTGGCATCTTGAGTGGAGGAATGGGCTGATTCCCCAGGGGTGACGCCTGGGAAAGGGCCCTGAGACTAACACACACCTATAATCTCAGCATTCAGGAAGCTGCAGCAGGGGGATCACTGTGAGTTTGAAGCCAGCCAGGGATACACAGTGAGTTCAAGGCCAGCCCGAACCACATAGTGAGACTGTCTCAACAAAATAAAGAAAATAAACAAAATAAACCAAATAAACCAAAATAAACAAAAAATAGGCACCATACAAATAATGCCTTCAGACCACAGTGGAATTTAACTAAAAAGCGATCATAGAATGATAACTGAAAAATCCTCAAATTTATGGACATCAAACTTGACACCCCTATATAACATGTGGGTCAAAGAAGAAAACGTAAGGCTGGCTTTGTGGCATGTTCTGCCACACAGTGTGGCTGACATGATGGGGAACAGTCCCATGCCCATGTCTCAAGGTCCTTGCCTAAGGACCTGCCCAGCCACCATAAGAACAACACCAGAACAACTTCCTGGGTGACCAGAACAATGGCTCAATTGCCCTGTCATCTGGCCGAGAGCTAGTTGACCTGTGATCTGTGAGGCTGATCTATAACAGCCAGCAGAAGGCCAGTAACCAACCGACTGACTGCGGACTCAGGTCAGCCATTGCCTTGAGCAATAATCAATACTTGCTCTTTTAAGCCACTGAATTTCAGAGAGCCCCTTTTCTGTCGCTATAACAAAATACTACAAACTTGGTAATTTATAAATAACAGAATCGGGAAGGATGACATCTGATAAGGTCTCGTGTCATAATCAGGAGAGAACACCGCATAAGAAGAGCCAGGAGGGTTGTGAACTTGGGTTACTCTTCTCAAAAAGCCTCTAATCCCACCTCAGCTTCACAACTCATCCCATCCTCATTCTTTCTGCAAACCCCACCTCAAACACCATCAACCTATGAATCTGGGGACTAGGAGTCCAACTCGTGGAGGGGGAACACATTCAAGTCATAGGAAAGAGAGTTGTTACACAGCAACAGCCTGTTGATAAACTGGCATCTCAGAGCACCTGCTGCTTTAAGGAAGTCTAAGCTTGTGGCACTGGCCCTGGTCCCTCCCTGGGAAGCAGGAGCTGGAAGAGCAGTAAGAGACGTCTGTTTGCAGGCCTGGCAGTTGCTGTGCTCTCTGCTTCTAAGAATCCCACCTACACATGCAAGTACAAGTGTCCTCATCTGACTGTCTGACTGTAGCACCCACAATTAAATGAAGGAATACAGAGGAAAAAACATGGTAACACAAGGGAGACATAGATTGAGAATTTTTGCAACTCAGAAATAATCTTGATTTCCCTTTTTCTTTCAGTGGTCCCTGCTGTGACTCAGTGAGATTCTGAGAGGTGGCGATGGAAGAGTAAGAAGAGAACTAGACACACATTAAAAGGAAAGCTGGGGCCGGGTGGGGCCTGAGCTCCGCAGTGGAGAGGCAGTGACAACCCAGCATACCCTGCATCCTTATTTATACACAGTAAAATGGGGAAGCATGTGGTGGGGCCCGAAAGTGCAAGGCCTGTGTTTTGCTGAGAATACTGAAAGGAAACATTCTTAGAGCTATCAGTACTGTAGGTAACAGGGAGGAGCACACGGCTGGACACCTGCTGAACTGGCTTTGCTCTAGTCCCAACAACCTGTTCACATGATGCACCTCTGGAGCTCCATGTTCTCTAGCCCCTTGTCCTAGGCCCTAAGGTGTAGTTGATCTCCAGCTCAGCTGCTCCCTACACCTCCCATCTAATAGATTAGGCAATGTTGGCTCTGGATTCAAAACATCTCCCAAATTCCACCATCTTTGCCTAACCCCTGCTACCATGACTACTGTAAGGCCTTCCTGATGGTTCTCCCTGATTCAGCACTGCCTCCTCGTGACAGCCGGAGTAGGCTTTTTGCATCATCAACCAGATCACGCTAATGCGCCATTCAAAAAAAAACCACATGGGGGCTGGGGATATAGTTCAGCGGCACAAACACATGCCTGGCAAACATGAGGCTGCAAGTTCAATCCTTGGTACCAGGGGAAAAAATGCCCCTATGGAATAAGATCATGAACTGTAAGTCCTAAATCAGTCATGAACTTAGGTCCTAAGTCCTCTGGCTTTACAGGGTTACACACCTATAACCCCAACCCATGAGGGGCTGGGGCAAGAGACTCCCAAGTCCAAGGCCAGCCTCGGCAACTTACCAAGAACTTCTCTTAGAGATTGGGGGACAGGGCAGATGCAGCTCAATGCAGGCAGTTCAATGCCCAGCACTGTAAAAGGGGGTGGGGCAGGGAGGTTGGGCCCTTGGCTCTCTGTCTCCAGCCTCCTTCCCCAGCACCCTCCGGCTTGCCTGTTGCTCCCCACTCTCCTCAGCCTCTTTGCTGTCCCTCAAATGCAGGGCTCCGCTGTCATGGGCTGGGAGGGGCCTTTCCTCACATATTTTCAGGGCTCACGCTTTCCTTCTTTCCAGTGCCTGTCCTACTATGCTGGTAAGAGAGACCGACCTTGACGTCTCATTTAAAACAGTCTCCCTTCCCCAGCACTTACACAGTCTTGTCAGGTTTTATTTTCTGTCACAGTCCTCCTTTAACCTGATGTTATGGAATGTGTTTGTTTCTTTGTTGTGTCTATCTGCCCCATCAAACTGGAATTTTCCCCAGGACCAAGAACTTCATCTCACTCAAATCTGTATCTCCAGCACACAGAACTGTGCCAGGCATGTAGTAGCTATTCGGTGTAGTAGTTTGTGAATGGAATGAATTTTTAAAAAGAAAGAAATAAGAAAGGGAGAGAGGGAAGAAATACATTTTCAAAGCTGACATTTAAGTAGCATAGGCTATTTTACCTGACTTGAACATTTAAAAACATTTAATGCTTATTGAATAATATATAAATGCATATAATCAAGAAGAAAACAATGTGTTTATTAGAAAACTATGTGGCTTCACTTGGAGTTTAAAATATAAACCCTTGTGGACTGGGAATGTAGTTCAGTGGTAGAGCACTTGGCTGGCAGATTGAGGCCCAGGTTCAATCTCCAGCACTGCAAAAAAAAAAAATTATACTTCTCGTCTGCTCTTAAATTCATAAGCACTTTGAAGAACTCTACTGAGAGACTCCGGGAGCCGTGAGAATGCTCTCAAAGTGAAGGGTCTCGGATGGGAGATCAAAGTGTCAGTTGAAGAGGATCTTCAGCTTTGCTATTTCAAAACCACTCCTGCACAGCCGGCTGCGACTGACAGAGCCGGGGGCTTTGCAAGTACTTGTACTGCATTCAAGGCCTCTCTTCTAAGACTTCTGTCTTCCAAACATAGAACAACAGAAGTGGGAAACACTCGAGGTCAATTTTCCTTAAATGAAGCTCAGTTCAATATTCGTGTTCCACCTGCTGCTTGCACCCTTTGTCATATTGGGTCAGGTGCTGAAATACTTGACTTTCAAAGCACCTGTTCCTTTGCTCCTGCCCCGTGAATCTGTAGGACAGATGTCAGTTAGGACAAGAGTAAAAACATAACAAGCACTAGTCTTCTTATTTCAAAAGTTAGGAACTATGTAAGAAGTCCCGTGTAGAATATATGACACCTAACACAAGAAGGATGAGCTCTGAAAAACTAATCTCTCTATGCTTCTTCTCTACAAGTCCCATTACACCCGAACAATTGCTATTTCTTCTTGGAAAAGAATTTGCTCAGTTTCCATCTGACCAGCGGCTGAGCCTCTGCTTCAAAGCAACCAAATCCCCAGAGCACAGCCTGCCCAGACTCCTGCAGTTCCCGGCTCTACACCATGATGCCAAATCTATTAGCAAGTAGACTGATGATCAGTCAGCAGACACTAACAGACTGATTTTAAAATATCTTAATTATAAAAAGTCCATTAACCATGCAGACTCAAGAACAGAAGCCATACAACCACTTGTGAACTCAATTACTCAAAGGCACACCTGGATTGTTTGGTTTGGTTTGGTTTTTTATTTTTTACAGCTGTGAAAACTGAAACGTAAAGAGAGTAAGTTAATTGTTCCATATAGGAACTGTGCTAGATTACTTAGACCGAATGTAAACAATATAATAATCCTTATCCAAGCCCAACATCCATCCTTCCATCCTAGTTAATATTAGTCATTAAATGACAGGAGGCATGTATCAAGTATTTACCACATGTCAAGCACTTTGTTAAATGGTCCATGTCTTAATTATTTTGTCTTGTTGCAATACAAAATACCCAAAACCCAAAGGTAAAGGAGAAAAGGTTTATTTCTCTCACAGTTAATAGAGGTTTCAATTTACAGTCAGCCAGTTCCACAGCCAGGTTGCATTGCAGAGGAGCACTGCAGAGGACAAACAGTTCTTGGCAGGCAGAAGTCAGTAAGCAGCAAGGGACAATCACAGCTCTTTCTGTCCCATATAGTGTACACAGGCTGCCCGCTTTTAGGGCTGGTAGCCCTCACATCCTAGCATAGCATCCTTGATCCCAGCAGCACACACCCTAGGTCCAGCCACCTCCGATAAACCCCATCTATGGCTGCATGAGGCTTTGGGGATGAAAGGTTCTTGATGTAGAAAAAATTACTGTGCTGTTATGGCGGTGGTCTAACACAGAAACGTTTACCACTTCCTGCTTCTTCCTCAGCCTTAATTGCAACTTCCCTTCTTGTTTACACACAAAGAAAGGTCCAATCAGCTCCTCGTGCATCACCAATGCCTGCCCTAAGTGCCACCCAGTCAGAGGTTATATATATATATATCCCATGCCCCACGTTCAGGTCAAAGGGACCCAGGTTGTTTATGGTCATGGGCTCCTCTCTACGTCCTTGGAATAAAGGCTATTTTTTACTTTATATTCTTTCATGGTGCCTAAAACTCTTTCAGGGGAGACATCTAGACACAGGTCATAACACTCCATGAAGTCATGTCACTTAATTTACATCCAAAATCTATGAAGAAGTTGCTCTTCCCACTTAACAAATGAAAAAATTAGGCCATGTGAGAAATGGAAATCAAAACAACATTGAAATCCCATTTCTCCAAGAAGAAGGCTTAAGATCAAGAACTCAAAATCAAAACAAAACAAAAATTGGCAAGGTTGCTAGGGAGAAAGGTAGCTAGTGTAATCACTTTGAAAGTTGGTTTTTAAATACTTGAGACTGAAATTCATTTTAACTAGCTATTCCTCTTTCAGGTATCTTTTCAAAAAAAGCAAAAGACAACATATTACAATTACAGTACTATTTCGGACTGATCAGGCCTGCAACCTCTCAAACCAGTGGACAGCAAAGGCTTAAATAAAAGAGATAAATGGTATGATTTTAGGGTTCCAGACGGAATAAAATCCTCTAAGCAAAATTTAAGATTCTGTAGGAGCTGAGACAAAGAACTTCTCTGAGCGGTCCATATTTGTTTGGCTTTTAAACAAGAGAAGGGCTTAAAGAGTGAAATGTGGCAACAGAGCAGGATCTTGGGAGTTGGCTCAAGGACTTCTCCAAGTAATAAATTACATTAATCTGGGAGAACTATCTGATCTCCAAATTGACCTTCACTGCAGCAGTGAGATGCCTATAGCTACAGACTTTATGTAGCTAATAAGGGTCTCAAGTTACAGCCATTCACTAACTTCCTTCAGGATCTTGGAAAAAAGCATTCACTTTATTCTCCAGTGTCCTTATCCATAAAAGTAGAAGAAATAATACTGATCTTGAAGGACCCAAATAAAGTATGTGTTTTATCTTAAAGAGAAAAAAATAAAAACAACAATAAAGCAGTTTCAAAACAGATTAGTAGGAGAGTAACAATAATTAATACATTGTGTATTGTTATCTTCCTAGTAATTATTCAGAGTACGTGATATCTTGTCCTAACAATATTAGCACAAATCTTTCTTTTCAGTGAACTAAGAGAAACTAGTTGTTTAACTATCTTGTGTATAAATATATTTTTTCTTTTTTCCTTTTTTCCTTTCTTCCTTTCCCCTTTCCCTCATCACAGTTTGTCATTTCGTTTGAAAAGTTTCTTCTCAATTTACAATATCTATTGTACATTTTGGGTCCTATTTACTCATTCAGTTTCTCATACTAGTGAGACAATACAATGGTTACATATATGGGTCTCATTTATTTTGTGTAGTATGGTCTCAAGTTGTATCCATTTACCTATAAAAGTCTCCAGTTTATCCTTCTTTATGGCTGAGTAGTACACCATCATATACAAATACCACATCTTTTTTATCCATTCCTCAGTGGATAGGCATTTAGGTTGTTTCCAAGATCTAGCTAATACAAATTTTGCTGCCATAAATGTGTGTGCCTATATACTGCTATAGTATGATTTTTTTTAATTCTTCGGTGGATATACCCAGAAGGGGAATAGTTGGGTTGAATGGCACCTGTAATCCTATTGAGGAATCTCCATATTGATTTCCATGATGGTTGTACCAGTCTACACTCCCACCAACAGTGGAGAAGAGTTCCAGCCCTACCAGCATTTATATTGGTTTCTTTTTGATAACAGTCATTCTTTCTGGAGTGCTGGAATCTCAGTGCTGTTTTAATTTGCATCTCCTCAATGACCACTGATGTTGAACATTTTTTCATATATTTATTTGCCATCTGTTATGTCTTCATCCAAGAAATATGTATTCATCTCAGAAATCAATTTTTGGATTGGGCCTTTGGATTTGGCAAGTCTGATTTTTTTCAATTTTTTTTAAAAGGTAGCATTTCATCTTTATTTAAGAGAGCTGTTGGATCTTCATGACAGCAGACTGTTGTAGGATAATTCCACAAAGGTGCTGAATTTAGAGAGAGAGCTTAGCTTACATACAATTTAGAAGTGTAGGGGCTGGGGATTTAGCTCAGTGGCATAAGTGCCTGCCTTGAAAGCAGGTAGTCATGAGTTCGATCCCCGGTACCGATAAAAAGGAAAAAGACCAAAAAAAAAAAAAAAAAAAAAAAAAAGAAGTGTGTGTGGAGGGGGTGCAAAGTAAGTAACAAAACATTACATAATTGGTTACATGCATTGAATCATAATTTATATTGACAGGCCTAGTCTTGAACAGATTTGCAGAAACAAAGAAATTGTGTATCATAATAAAGCCCATAGAGCTCGGACAGCCTGACCACAATTGCCTTGCATTGCCTCACCAGTCACCCTGACCTCCAGATGGAGTCTCCAGCAGATGATGAGCACACCTTGTTCACAGACAGAAGTCACGCTGTTAAAGATGGACAACACAAGGGCCAACTACACTGTTGCTACAACCAAAGAGATGCTCCCAGCTGGATCTCTTCCTCCACGTTGGTCAGTTCAACAGGCTGAGCTCTGGGTGCTCATACAGGCCCTTGATTGGACAAAGAGGTCAATTTTTCACATGTTCTAGATATAAATCCTTTATCTGAGGAACAGTTAGCTAAATTTTGTTTCCACCCTGTGGGTTATCTTTTTACTTTTTTGGTGATTTCTTTAGCTGTGCACAAGCTTTTTAATGAAATGAGATCCCAGTTGTTGATTCTTTAAAGTATTTCCCATGCATTCTGGCTTTTGCTCATGAACTCACTACTTACACCTATGTCTTCAAGATTTCTACCTACTTTCTCTTCCAGTAGATTCAGTGTTTCTCACATGAGTTTGTGACAACTCAGACCCCAGTATAAAATCCAAGGAAGCAAGAAATTAAAATTTGGGGAGCAAAGGCTTTATTTTAAGCCAGGCCTGGTGACGCAGCCTCCAGGAGCCAATTTGGAGACTGAGCACCTGACAGCTAAAAGTCAGGGCTTTTATCTTGTAAATCCACAAACAGCTGCTGGTCACACAATGTAAGGAGGGGGATGGGGGTGTGGTGCACTACAAAACAGAAATGGTGATTACACGTCTTGGGAAGAGCAAGATCAGGTAAGGGTTGTGCCAACAAGCAAGTCTCCCTGCATACAAGCAAGTTTAGATAAGAAGAAATCTTGTTTTCCTTAGCAAAGAATAGAGAAGTCTAATAGCAATTAACAACCTTAGTTACCTTACTTTAGCACCACAACTGTTCTTTGTAGAGGGCAACAATGGTTAACATATCAATTAGGTAAGATTTTACAATTCTTTACACAGGAGAGCATTGATTAACATAGCAATCCTTTACCCAGAGGGAAAAGGAAAACACATATTCAGTAAGGCCAAGTTACAGGTATTGCTATGATACAAATATAACAAAGCTATTTTTGTGAAGAATAGTACAATCTAATACAATCTAATGCAATTAACACAATTTGTGATGGGCCACCGGGTAGGGAAGGGGGTTGTCAGGAGCTATTACTTCAGGCCTTTGTTTTATGGCCTTTGGGGAAGTTAAACTTAACCTAGTTAGATGTGAAGGGAGAAGGGGAGGGGAAGCAGTAGGTGGTGCTTATACAGAACAGGCTTCATGGCGCCATAGTTAGAGGGGCTTAGGTTTATAATAAGTTCTTGCAATGTCTAACACATCCGGCCGTTAATAAAGGAGTGAAACGGGAGCCTTGCCCCTTGAGTTTCTAGTGCAGCTGCTTTGTGTTATCAAAGACAACTGAGTTGACAAGTTAATTCTGTCTTCCTTTTAAGGTTCTATTTTTGGAAGTATTCAGGGTGAAGAGACCAAGAAAGCTCGTTCCATCTGCTGCTTCCCCTCCCCTTCTCCCTTCAAATCTAACTAGGTTAAGTTTTAACTTCCTAAAGGCCATAAAACAAAGGCCTGAGGTAATAGCTCCTGACAACCCAGGTCTTCCCTACCCGGTAGCCCCGTCACAAACTGTGTTAATTGCATCAGATTGTATTAGATTGTACATTCTTCACAAAAATAGCTTCGTTTATATCATAGCAATATCTGTAACTTGGCCTTACTGTAAATGTGTGTCTTCCTTTTCCTCTGGGCAAAGGATTGATATGTTAATCAATGCTCTCCTCTGTAAAGAATTGTAAAATCTTACCTAATTGATATGCTAACCATTGTTGCCCTCTACAAATAGAACAGTTGTGGTGCTAAAGTAAGGTAACTAAGGTTGTTAATTGCTGTTAGACTTTTCTATTCAGGAGGCCTTGTGGTGCGAGTTTCGAAACTATGTGCAGCTCCACCCCCACAGGACCCAGTGTTTCCGGGCCATTTGAGATAAACAGTCTGTTTTCTCAGTCATGGGACACACGCACGTTCCTAAGAAGTGCCACCCCTTCTCGGGAGACACCCCCCTCGCCCCACAAAGAAACCCAATCCCTTGAGGACAGCTC